ACCATAACATAGAGGAACACCATTTTTATATTAGCGCCCATGAAATTTGTACAAATCTTAGCCATGAGACTTTTGATATGAGCATGGCAAATAATCCTTCCCTACATGATGTCAACCAAGTCTTCTTTCCCGACACAACCGAAAACTCAAGGGTTAAGTTATGGAGTAATGAAACATTGCCCAATATTGACGGATGTGAAAGAACAACTACTTTTTCTTTATAAATTGTGACCTTCATTTACACAATTATACCATGTACTATAGATCATATATTCATATGCCGTCATGTAGCTTGACTTGACTACACCCTGGAAAATGAGAATGATGGTCATATGTCATGTTTGTTGGATTATTTACAAGCGGTGTTCAAGCTTTTTATTTTTGCAACGTTAGCCGCAGCCTATATAGGTGAATCTATGGAAGGTCATCATTAAATTTAACTAGTTTACTAAATCGTTTATATGGGTGCAGCATAGCATGTGAGTGAGACTGCAAGTACGTTATTCAACTATTCTCTGTCATGCTAGTAGTACTATGAGTTGATTACTTGGCTGTTGGCTCTAAACTACAATGGTGTTTATTATTATTGGCTTGCATACTGGATTAGATAAAACTAGAAGAGATCGTGTGAGATTCATAGTGTTTTATTGTTTTTCAAGCTATTACCTAGTTCCAAGTGCTAAAAACATCATGTCTTTTAGACACATTTTGAAATCTTAAAACATCAAGTTTTCTAAGACAGTGGAGTATTTCGTAAGTAACAGAGAATGGGCAATGTTATGGTTTTAATCGATTTCACTTGGCTCCACCTACATGAACGCACACGTGGCTTTATTTCGAAACCGCTCCTTGAATTGGATAGGTCTCTAGGTGCAGTTTTCTTAACAAAACCGTCCCTAAAAATAGATTTTCAGGAGCGGTTCCTTAGCTACAATGCTCCCTGCCATACTTATAGCCGATTTCTTATGTGCCTCTATTAAAAATGAGTCATCTATAAAATAAAAAATTGTACTAGTGTTCTTAACCCTGCAGCTGCTTTATTTCAGAGCCAAGCTTCCCCGGCCAATCTACAACCACAAGCATGCTGTTTTCTTCCTTATAGATTGCCAGGATCAGCTGCAATCAGCAATATCTTTTAGCAAATATTTGTGAAACAAATCCATATTTGAAAAACATATTGTTGCACAACATGTTGAAGCAGCTCAGACATGCAACCAACCTGATGTCTGAGCAACTAGAGAGCAACTGCAACAAGTTCACCGACCACAAGGCTGATAAATCAAACTATTTAGCAGAAAAACGAACCACCAAGATTCCAAGAAGCCTCTCTGGCACATCAAGGATGACCAACGGAATTCCGACCAATTAATCAAACGGACAACTCCCAGCAATTGTCATGTGAGGCAACTCTTCAGGTAGACAGTAACGGAGCGGTTTGCGAGCAGAGCAAGTGATACAGCAATGCCACATGACGGACTCCTAAACCATCGACAAACCCACCAACGTTGTGTTTCTTCCAGGTGTTCTTTTAGCCTTGCTTGCCAGCCTGCTACTTTTATGTAGGCTGGCGTTAGTGCTAACCAAAACAGGTGTTGTGCAATCTTCTACAGACCTAGGTTCAACTGCCAAGGGTGTCAACGGGGCTGTCAGATGCGTGATGAATTGATCAATATCAAGGACCCTAGAGATCTTAATTGATGGTGGTGGGGGCATTGCTGATGGGGTCGACTGATCGGCTCCTAGGACAGAGTTAAGTCTCCTCTGTAGCGTCCCCTCCTGAGAGCTCGGTGGAACATCTCCAAGGTCCACATTTATTCGATCAGCCTCCTCAGCCATCACAGTTTCCACCTTAGGTGAGGAAGTGAGGAACACTCAGCGTCCACTACACCCTCTAGAGTAGTAGAGTCTCCTCAGCCATCACAGTTTCCACCTTAGGTGAGGAAGTGAGGAACACTCAGCGTCCACTACACCCTCTAGAGTAGTAGAGTCTAGAATCCTCCAATATCATTTCTCTAGTTTGGCCTGTTCGGTTGCTTGCTTCGGCAGCACTGCAACTGCATATAGTCACTGTAGCTAGTGTTTAATGTCTTGCACCATCGGCAGCGGCAGCAGCTGCTGCTGCAAAACCAAGCAGCCAAACTATTATATATAATAACATCGGATAATCTTTTTTTTTTTTTGTCAAAACGTAGCATAAACACGGGTACTCACATACACTCAACCTTATGAATATAGGCAAGTAAACTCTACTCTTATAAGCACCTATGGGAGATTGTACCAACAGATTTTAAGATTGATGAGACATTATAGATGCACCTTTATCAATAAAACACATCGAAATAGTAGCACCATTAAATCCTGAAATAAATCTTGGACACCATAAAAACCTAATGAACTGAGCTACTTTCAATTCATACAACTTCAAACAATGACACCTAATTAACGATCATAGAAACTATCCCAGTTTCTGGGTTGGGACTTGCGAAGAGAGGCTGGCCCAACAAAAAAAAACGGCCCAACTAATATGTAGATATCGTGCTAGTGTCATTGATTCCCCAATGACCGGAGAAAAAAAAACCCTGCATGGTCCATATGAGCCTGAAGAAAATAGAAAAGAAAGCAATCATATATGACAAACTACCATTACATTTAGGATCAATCTAGAGGAAGTGCTCGGCAAATGCTTAACGCCACTTTTCGCGTGGGTTCAACAAACGAGCCCATGCTAGATGACAGCAAGAGTACAAGCAGAAAAGATGCTATTCAATAAACAGAGGAATTGCTGATAGTGTGGCGGTTTATTATACAGAACAGACTACTTGCACACGATACGTGTGCTTGACCCAACTAGCAATACTTTTGCTGACTGTTTTTTGCAATATTACTGCACTAATAAAACTGAAGTTGGGAGTCATAAGAGTCTCTCTTTCAAATGTTGGTCATAAATTTGTCTACATAAGGAAAATTAGCTAGGAATTCAGAACTGCAGATCAAAACCTTGATCCCTCCAAAATGAAGCATTTCATCATAAACCCGTAGCTCCTATGTGTTTCAATATATAGCTTCTCAATTTTACTATATGGAAATTGGTACCATAAGTTTCGGTATATGACTCAAACGAGTATGAACTCAGAGATTCATGAGAATCAACAGAAAACTGAACACTAACTGTGCTATGCGCCACACGTAAGGAATACGATAGACTTTCGGAGTGCACTCTACATTGGTATGGACAATTGGACATTGCTTCCAGCTGAATATAGAAAAGACTTCTCCAATTATGTGGTCAATGAGTAGTCATACCAAAAGGAAGGGCTTTCATGAAGACGCTCTACAGCTTATAAATATCTGTGAATGCAATCTACCCGCCAGCTGAGGTAGTCAAAACAAGATGCTTCATGTTTACCACCATAGAATCTACAGGTTATACTGACGTAATCGCATCAACAGTTCTGGAATTCTAAAGAAACCCTGTTATTCTTTGACCTTTTCAGGTCATACGACAATGAGCAGGTATGGGCCCTTTCTTTGTGCTCAACCGAAGGGAACGAATAGTCAGACAAACAAGCAAGATTTTCATCAAGATGCTTTCTAAAGCTTATTTGGATGTGAATTTAAAGCTCAGAAATTATCAACATATTTTGGCATGCTTTCACTTCATTCAGAGGGAAAGGCAACGTACGAATATTGACCTCTTTACTTTTTATTGTATGAGAAGTACCTGAAGACACTTACCTTTAAACATGGTATTCACTATTGGTTGGCACCATTGGAGAGAAACGGTATTCAGCGTTCACTAAAGGAGCTAAGGTAATGGAGATTGGAGAGCAGATTTAAATTACAAATATGTGTAGCTTTGAAGCTTAGTACATTATTTATTCAGGCTTATATTTATATTTTCCATATACTACAACAATTTTTAAGAGTTATATGGTGTGCTCATTAGTATAAGAGATGCGTTTGGTTGAGGTCATTGTTCTGCTATATACAAAGGGTGCTAATATATGCTTAGATATATGAGCGTGTGGGTCTGTTTTTGTAAGGATTCTTGCCCCTTTTTCTTCTTAATATAAAGATATGCATCCCTCTTGCGTGTTCGATAATAAAAAAGTATAAGAAATATGTAACATTATCTGCTATCCAGAATTACACTCAATAGCTCACAATACAATAGCAGAAAAATGCCTACTTTATCACAAAAACAACAGTAAAATAAGCATAAAAAAGCATATAACTTTCTGTTCCTTGACACAGGTGTAGAGCAAAAAACGGTTTGCTTTTGGAGTTAGATTCCATATACCATTTAATTGGAATTTAACTGGTACAGTACACACACCCAAATTTCAGTAACTTTTTCAGGCTCAATTATGAATTAGCTACAAACAAAATTATCCCAGAAAAATCAAAATACTGCAATGCTGTGGTTGACTATTCAAAACAACTCATTTCTCCAATTGTGTATTCATGTTCTATAATATAAAACTGCGGTTCATAAAAAGTTTCGAAAAAAAATGGCCATGTTATGTCATGGCTCACCGTAATCAGTACCGGAGGGGTGAGACTGAGCCATGCCATTAAAGGGCTGTGGTGATGTGGCTCAATTTCTGCCCTGTTGTGCCACTCCGACATCTGATAGTGAGGTTGCGAAACCACCTCTATGCTCACAAAGTATTTTCCGAAAATGATAAGTAGATATGCTTGCAGCACCAAGCATTATCTACAACATTACATATGAAGATATTCTGTTTTGAATTAACCCAACTGATACTAGTTCCCTCAATGACATGCTACTGTCATGTGCTGTTTCATTACAAAAGGTGTTAGGGTAGTGTCATACATTGAGGCTGAACTATATGCACATATAATATTTTGATAAAAGGTACAGAAATTTAAGTACTAAACTTACCAGCCATTGGCCCGAATTAGAATGATCTTCTCTAGGAAAACCAGCATGCTATTCAGATAAATTAGGAACTAAGCTACATATTCATTGACGTACTTCAGTTGGGTTGGCAACCTGTCTTGCGATACTTGCTTCTCTTCTCCAGTGCATCTACTAGGATCGAAGGGCAAGTTCTTTTGAGAGTTGCATAACCCTCTGTTTCCACCAGAGCATCAATCTCATCTGAAGAGGCCATAAACTCGATGCAAACTTCTTTGAGACGGTTGCAGTTATGCTGATCAGCTAAAGCCAGTGTAGTGGCCACATTCTCCATGTCAAGATACTCGACAAGAATGCTTGCACACAACAACTTCAACCTATCCATAGCATATCTATCTGCAGCAACAAGTAAAAGCTTGACAATCTCACAATATTCATCCTCATTATCAAGATCATCCCATTCAAATGTCAGTTCATCAGTATAGATAAATTTCAGCAGGGCCTTGAAAACATCAGGCTGCATGTCGTCTACAGTTATGTTATGGGCCCTACTCTCCTTCATCTGTCCATACAGCTGCGCCTTAAAGACAGGGGACCGTGTGGCAAGCACGATCTTGTGTGCAGGGAAAGTCTCACCTCCAACACAGAATGTGACATCTGCTCCTTCCTTCTCCGACAGTAATTTTCCAAAATGTTCTGGTAAGTCCGTGTCCGGCACTTCGATCTCAAATTCCCCTGTGGTTTCCACCCACGATTCCTTGACAACCGTGACAGTACACTCAATCTTCAGGCAATCGTCCACGATGTAGCCAGCTGATTTACACTCCAGCTTATTTCTTTTGCTTATGACGATCCTTGGGGTGAAGCAATTTCCATTGCAAGAATTGAACACTCTAAAGGTGGTTTCCCGATACACAGTTTCTGGCAACCCTGTAGTCTGGTTAACAAAACTCAGGTCATAGGACGCCCGCACCTCAGCGTTCTTGCTCACGAGCACAAGCGAGACGACCACAGAATCTTTGGTAGCCTCGGTAGATCCGTCCGGGTAGAAGCGGATGGCCCAATCGTAGCCGCCGACGGTGAAGATGCCCGACCGGATGGAGTTGCCGACGCCTCTGCCCTTCTTGAGGGTGTACCCGATAATCTTGAACAAATGCGTACCCGTCTCCTCTTCCGTGGTGTGACTCGACTCCGTCCTCTTGGGTTCGGAGCCCATCCTTCTCCCTGCAGATTACAAGATCCAAAAAAAATTCGTCGGGAAGGGGTTTCCTTGAAAAAGAGTCACCTTTCTTTGTGGCAAGAGGAGGCGGCGGCGGCAAAACCTGGGTGAAGGATGGGCGAGGAAGTGAGCGGCAGCAGGCGGAGGCGGCGACGAGGGAGGAGGATGGCGAGGAGCCGGCTCCTGGGAAAAGGGATGTTTTGCTTCGGGGAACGTGAGCGGCGATTTCAGCGAATGTGGAGGAGGGAGGACCGAGGACTGAAGAGTTATTGGGCGTGATCGCCTGGCTCAGAGTCTATAGATGGGCCAAATGGGCCGTTCGGCACGACACGAGCTCGGGTCCGCTGAGGCACGGCACGTCTGACTTTCAGGCATGGGCATGGCCCTTTAAACCTGGGGCCCGTCCATCGGCACGGCGAGTACGGCTTGTTCACACCGGCTCAGGCCCAAGCGTTGGTTGAGCGATGGCTTGGGGTGGATTTTTTATTTTTAATTAATTTTTAACATTTATTTTAAAATAGTCTCACTTATTTTTTATTTTATAATCATTTTGGTCACATCAATACGCCTGGGGCGACGAAATCACGTTGTCACGCCATGTGCGTTGACGAAATCTGACACGTTAGACAGTGATTTTCACGTGGAAAATTTTGTTGTGCTATTGCCTTTGGCACAGTAGTGTTTTGTCACGCCTACAGAAATGGTGTTACAAACTCAATCTTAGAAAAATCATATATTTTTCATACGATGTCAGTGAAGATGATTTTTATATAAAAGTTGTATCTCGACGAAATCTACAACTTTGTAGTTGAGTTTTCCCATTTTAGGTCGCTAAGATGCTTAAAAAATAACAATAAAGTCTCAACAACATAATAATCGTGTACAACCATTTGTCATCGTAGAAAAGTAATGCCTTTATTGTATGGTGTCAAAGGAATACATTGGACTAGCATTTTGTTTGGTTTGAGAATGAGAACCAATTTTGTAAATTATGTAATAACGAACAAGAAAATCCAAGGCATCTATGCAAAGATTGCACCTACAGCAAAAGAGTTTGGGCAATCATCGGTGAGTGGGTGGAACTTAGCACCCAGGTGAGTACAAACTTATAGTCGGTCTACAAATGTTGGAGAAAATGGAGAAGAGAATAATTGATAAGGACAGAAGAAAGAGTCCGACATGATCTTAATATATTTCTGGTGGAACATATGGAAGGAAGAAAATGAAGAACATTTCAACACAAAGAGCTACAACCATTGAAGTGCCTACCTGATCAAAGAAGACATTCGATAGTATTCCATAGCATTTGAAAATGGTCAAGATGGATAACAAGCAGGTGTTTTTAGTCTTGTGTGGACAGATGTTGTTCGACTAGTTGTGCTTTCATTGTGTGCCTTTTGGGTTCTCGTGTTTTGTAAATATTCTGTATATCTTTTTTAACTTTCTCCTACTAAAGCTTTTGCTGACCCTTCCAAAAAAAGTATGAGAACCAATTCTGCAAATAGGACAATAACTCCTAAAATCACTTATCAATAGCGAAGTCAATTTCCATAATCACCTGGACCATAGCTACCAAAAAAGTTCAGAACAATAAAAGTTAAACAAGAGAATTGTCTTGCATATTATGAACAAGCAAACATAGGATAATCATAATTCCTAGAACCGGAAACCAAGGCGCTCTCATCTGCAGTCCTAAAATAACTCCACATGCCATTAACCAACAAAGTTTTGGATCCATCTTGGATAAAGTCAATAACCATTTGGACAACTAAAAATTTGTTTCCAAATAAAACTTGCATCGTGCTAGTTATAAAACCATAGAATTGCATTTAAGATTTCTACATGATACTGGTGATATAGTAACAAAGATAATTGCATTTCTATGTCAATTTCTAGGAAACAACAGAAAACACAAGCGCCATCAGTGCACGTACTTGCGTTTTAGTGCACTAGATCTAGGACACTAAGACCAGAGATACCCCATTTTTTGCATTATGTTTAACTGAAATTTGACTGCTGATTAATAACCAGATAACCCAATTTCAGCTAACTTCAGCCTCAAAGGACATATATGATTGACTATCAACAGGATTATCCCAAAGATTACACTACTGCATGGACTCTGATGGTTCATCAACGAAAACCATATATTCGCCAAGATGTTGTATCTGTGTGTGGCTGTGTGCTATAATACAAAACGAGGTATCATAAAGCACATAAACTCAAATAAGGCATGTTTGCATCACATGGGCCTCAAAGAATTATCAGCAAGATTGCATACAAAGATTTATCTGACAATTTAATGTAATGTAATTGACATTATGATAACATCACTGTGTTCCTTCGTTGACTTGCTACTGTTTGATATTGTAGTTTTGCATTACAAAAGTTGTGACAGTGACATGGCCAAACATTGATTCTTAATCCAGTAGCTCGATAAGGTATGCAACATAATTTAAGAAGCTAATTAAACTTGAACTTACCATCCACAGATTCTAGTCACCATATAGTACTCTAGTAAAACAAAAAAAAAAGAATAAACTGCCTACTCGCCATAGATAATTAATGAAATGGTGATCTATATTTTGCGGCACCGGCTTGTCTTCTCCGGTACATCAACTATGACAGAAGGGCATGTTCTTTTAAGATTTGCATAACCTTGAGTGGCCACAACAGCTCTCATCCTATCTAAAGAGTCCATAAACTAAATGCACATGTCTCTAAGGCTCTTGCAGTTATGCTGATCCACTAAGGCCAGTGTAGTTGCCACAGTCTCCACACGAAGGTGCTCGACAAGAACACTTGCACCCAATAGCTTCAACCTGTCCATGGCATATCTATATGCAGCTACAAGTAAATGCTTGATCATCTCGCTGTAATCATCAACGTCAATTTCATCATCAAAGACAGCCAGCACATCAGTATAGATGAAATCATGAAATTCAGCAGGGACTTGAAAACATCAGGCTACATGTCTTCCACGGCCACGCACCGTGCCTTGGTCTCCTTCATCTTTCCATACAGTTGTGCCTTAAACACGGGGGACCGCGTGGCGAGTACAATCTTGTGTGCTGGGAAAGTCTCTCCTCGAACACTGAAAATCACATCTGCTTCCTCTTCGTCCAACAACAGCCTACTAAAATGCTCTAATAGATCTAAGGGTAGCACTTGAATTTCGAATCCCCCCATGGTTTTGCATAGCTCAGAATCCCTGACGACTATGAAATCACATTGAATGTTCATGCGATCGTTCTGGATGTAGCCATTCGATGGAAGCTCCAGCTTGCGTTCTCTTGCAACAAAATAGTTGCGCGCGACAAACATGGTTGCAGTGGATTCATAACACATAATACTCTCCGATCGACTTTCAATCTGGTTCACTAGAAACTGATCATAGAATGCCCTCACCTTGGCGCCCTCGTCCATGAGTACCAGAGCGACGGAAGTGAACATCCTGTGCCCTCGGTGACTCCATCAGGGTAGAAGTAGATGGCCCAGGAGTGGCCGCCGACGGTGAAGATGGCTGACTGGACGAAGTTGACGATGCCCATGCCCCTCTTCAGGCTATACCCAGCGATCTCAAATGTGTGCGTGCCCATCTTCGCCTGAGTGGTGCATCTCGACGCTGTCAGCTTGGATTGGGTTGCAAAATTGTCCCTGCAGCTAGGATATATAGCAAGAACTTAGAGCAGCAAGTTACTTTAAAAGAAGCACCTTTCTATGGATGGTGGAGGCGAACCTTGGAAGGGAGATGTGATTGTTGTCGTCGTCATCGTCGGTGGTGGTGGCAGCGGCGGCGACAAAGGGGCAACGAGGCACTGGGGGAAGTTGGGAGGGACAAGAGAGATTAGGTGGCAGCCACCAAACTTATAGCAGAAGGAAAACATTAAGTAGGTTTGGAACTGGATCTTCTGTGGCACGGGCAATGTAGTGTATGCACGGTTGATATGCCCATTGCCCTACTTGGCGCGCCAACTATCGACAAAAGATGATCGGCAGTCCACCGAGGGGTATCCCACGATGGTAGATTTGTCGTAGAGGTGAGCGAGATCAGAAGCGAGATGGTAATACAAGCACCAAGACACAAGATTTAGACGGGTTCGGCCGTCAGTATGACGTAATACCTACATCATGTGTTCTGATGTATTGCATTGAGATGTCGAGTAGGGGACCCCTGCCTCTCCTTATATACTCTGGAGGGGCAGGGTTACAAGGAAAGTATCATATTTGGTACTATACAATAGCTTGCGGTGCACGCCGAGCAACGCCGTGCACGCCTTGATCTTGTGGGCTGGGCCACCTCTGATGGTGTGGTCCATGTCTTGTCTTGTAGATACTGGGGCCATACCCCCACAGTCACTCTGTAAACATTTTTGGAACTGTAGCATTTGCTTTGCAGCTTCATTTCTGCACCGCTCGTTTTAGATTGGACGGTTCAATCACCCATTGTAGCTACTGTAGAATCCCGATGCTACTTTAGCTATGTTATAGTTTGAAAATTGCTACTCCCACTATTTATTATATTTATAATATATATAAGGTATGTGTTGAGTGGGGGTGGTCTTCAATGTGTTCCTTAGTGGTGGTGTCCAGCTTATATTGGGGATGGAAACGAATTCGACGTCAGTTTACTAGGTATAGACATCATGTCCAAACTACTATTTTAAATGGATAAATGACCATTGTACCCTTACACAAAATAACTGGCTAGATGTGGCTTTTTTGTAATGAGCCAGAGGTCTAACTCAGAGGAAAGGAGGGAGGAAGGAATGAAGAGAGAAGGGGCAGAGTGGTGCCAGCTCTCTCCATGTCAGAAAGGGACAAGGGGAAGGGGAAATGGTGTGGGGCATGACAGCAGGTAGGGTTGGGGCCCACTTCTTGTTTAGTGGTGAAAGAGCAAAAGGAGCAGGTGTCGAGTAGGCCAGCAGGCACGTGTGGGTTGCCAGCTGTTGTGGTTGTCTTGTGGGTCCATAAGGATATGGAACTAGGGAAGGCGA